GGCTAAATAATGTTCTTCCATCCAAAATAGAGGGGGGGAAGTTTTCCCAGGAGGCCCCCTTCCAGTCTGAAGGGGCAGCCAAAGGAAGAGCATGGCCCGTCCAGCCTGCGGGGAGACGGCGGGACACCCCCAACCGTGCACACACTCCCCGGCCCCAACCACACACACACTCACCGATGTGAGTCAGTCTGGGCCACCTGCAGCAGGCCTCCCCACATGGTCCTCGGGTCGCTGCGCCAGCCGAGCCCTCCTATGATCTTTGGGAAAGAAAGCGCTGCCCAGGCCTGAGCCCCGCCAGGCCCAGAGGGCGCTTCCTGGCCTGGCCTCACACAGCACAGCCACAGCAGCAGTGCCCCCTCCCTCCCAGGGTTAGCAGCCGGTGGGCCCCTGGGCAAAAGGACGGCCTCTGCCACTGGAAGGGGTGCCCCCTCCCCATGGGCAGGGCAGGACAGGACAGGGGAGCCACCAGACCCCGACCCCGCCCTTGGCTCCAGGCAGGAGAACTTGGTTGCCAGAGGAGGAGGGACCCCTGACAGCACAGAAAGAAAGAGAGAGAGAAAGGAAAGAAGGAGAAAAGAGGGAAGGAAAGAAAGAGAGTAGAAAGAAAGAGGGAGGGAGGAAAAGAAAGAAGGAAAGAAAGAAAGGAGGGGAAGAAAGAGGTCAAATAGATGGAGGAGGGAGGGAGGCTCTCCCCCCCACAAACCCCTCACTCACCCCAATGAAGCTTCCACCGCTGCTACCCTGCACTAGTCAGGCTGTGCCCCTGCACCCCCAATCAAAGCGGGGAGGCGGGGAAGGCTGGCGGGGGGGTCTCTTCGGGCCTTCCCCGGGCCCCAGCACCTCGGCACGGGACCGGGGAAGGTGAGCGAGGGGGTGGGCTGTGCAACTTACCTCCCTGCCTCTTGCTCCTCGTGGCCCAACTGAGGGCTGCTGGGAGCAGAGGGTGGGGCTTGATGCATGTGCCCACCCCCTGGGCTCAGAAGGCAGCCGGAACGCTGTTCCGGTGTGTTCTGTCCCAAAAATAGCTCTGCTGTGGACTATACTACAAATGTATCATTTGTTGCTTTACATTGCTCTCACTGCATTATATTTCTGTTTACATAATACTATTTCTTGCATTGTTTAATAAGTCATGTTTAATACCTATGCCTTGTTTCAGGTTTCTTTATTATTTATCCTTCCTTCCTTCCTTCCTTCCTTCCTTCCTTCCTTCCTTCCTTCCTTCCTTCCTTCTTGTTTCAGGTTTCTTTATTATTTATCCTTCCTTCCTTCCTTCCTTCCTTCCTTCCTTCCTTCCCCGTCCCACCCCCCCCCCAGGGCTCAGGGTGATTTATAACAGTTTATAAATACAATTGAATAAATACACATACACATATATGCAGGTTAAAATTTAAAACAATAAACCAGCAGTAATCACAACTAATCAGATGGCATTAGACATTATGCTTCCTTCCCTAGGGGAGGAGACGAGAAGGCTAGGCTTGATGTTGGACCACTGCTGTCCTCTATCATAGACAGAACGTCTCTGTCTTACAGGCCCTGTAGAACTGTTTTAGGTCCCACATGGTACAGATGTCATTAGGCAGATAGTTCCACCAGGCCTGTACCAGGGCCCAAAAAGCCCTGGCTCTGGTTGAGAACAGCTGGATATCCTTCAGGCCAGGGATCACCAGGAGGTTCTCATCTCCAGAGCGTAATGCTCTTCAGGGGGTATACTGGGAGAGGCAGTCCCTTAGATACACTGGTCCCAGACCGTTTAGGGCCTGGAACGTCAGTACCAGACCCTTGAACCTGATCCGGTACTCAACTTGGAGCCAGTGCAGCTGGCAAAGCACTGGTTGGATATGTTCTGTTGATGGGGTCTCAATGGGGTCAATGGGATTATATGTCTCCTCATCCTACTGGTTATACTGAGTTACATTATGTAATCCGTCTTGAGTCTCAGGTATTTTATGCAACAAACATGTAAGCATTTGGTGCCACATAAATTGTTGGTTAGTTTTTAAACTGACACTTTGAGGATAATCTAGGCATTTTGAATAGTGAAAAATAGGATTCGCTTTACGTGATCTGATATAAGACAGAATTTCTCCCCCCCCCCAATCAAAGCATAATCATCACTAGGTCTCAAACTGATTTGAAAGTGAGTTTGTAGAAATAGTTGTGCCATCGGTGGTCTGACGATGTTCGGTGAATTTTTGTGAAAATATGGCCAAATAAGAATGAGTGGGAAACCCTGAAATAAATCATCACTACCAAAGGCGATGAGAGTTTACTGAAACACATCTTTCGTTAAACCATACACAGATTCCCACACATCAGCACCCAAGGAGCAAGTCAGCGTGTCAGTAAAAATGTAAACTATATAGTTAAGATTTTTATAATCTACATCATAAAGCATTTTTTTCACACTTTACACACTTTTAGCTGGAAACACACGTGCTTTTCTTTTTAAAAGATTTCTGCTGTTTGCAGTGTAGTTTGGCCTGTATTAAGGCTGTGTGTAGGAGCATCATGGAAAACCATAATTATCTCAGCTATACAAGGGCATGCACAAGGGCCGTGAAGCTTGCTTGTTTACCTAGTTTATACAAGGACAGTATAGCCTTGCCCTCTGGGCCTGGTGCAGGCAGATTGATTCCAGTCTCCCGAACAAATGTGCCCCTTACTTAATCGGTTTGCTTGATTACAGTGTACTATGATGTCTTCAGTAGAGATGTAAAATTTGAAACTATGATTTAAAAAAAATTGAAGCCAGTCAGTCTGAAGCAGCAAAATTAGACTGAAGTTTAATGGCACCTTAATGATTACCAGATTTATCCTGGAATTAATTTTGTTAGATGTTGAGGTGACACCAGACTACTTGTTTGATACTGAAATATATGCAATATTTAACTTTCTTACTGCTCTGCAGCACAGAATGCATCATTCATAAGGTAGCATGTATAATTGTACTGCTGAGAGCATATTTAGAGAATTTAGAAGCATAAATGCCTTAGATTTCTATAAGCAAAACTGTAAATAGTTATTTATTTTACATAATTATACCTTTCTTTTCGTCTTAGTGGGGACATTTCCCTCTCCCCATTTTATCCCTACAGCAACAACACTGTGAGGTAGGTTCGGCTGAGAGAGAGAGAGTAAATGGCCCAAGGTCCTCTAGTGAGCTTGCCTGGCACAGAGGGGATTCAAACCCAGAGCGTCCAGGACTCCAACCCCTCCTTAACAATGGAGGCCCAGGTAGCAGCCACTGCCAGGTCTGCATTTTGCCATCTGAGGCAGGCTCGGCAGTTGGCCCCCTTCCTCGACCGCGAAGACCTGGCTACAGTGATCCATGCGACGGTCACCTCAAGGCTAGACTACTGTAACGCTCTCTACATGGGGCTGCCTTTGTCGCTGACCCGGAGGCTGCAGCTAGTGCAGAATGCGGCGGCTAGGCTGCTGATGGGCCTCCCCAGGTGGGAGCACATCAAGCCTGGGTTGAAGGCGCTGCACTGGCTGCCAATAGCATACCGAGTCCGCTTCAAAGTGCTGGTACTTACCTTTAAAGCCCTATATGGCCTGGGTCCGACCTACCTGAGGGACCGCCTTTCCCCATATATACCCCCAAGAGCACTTCGGTCAGGGATCCAGAACCGTTTAGTGGACCCGGATCCCCGAGAGGTACGATATGCTGCAACAAGGGCTAGATCCTTCTCAGTGGCGGCCCCTACCTGGTGGAATGAGCTCCCGGAAGAGATCAGGGCCCTGCGGGATCTTATGCAATTCCGCAGGGCCTGCAAGACGGAGCTCTTCCACCAGCTGACAGACTCGGACCATTTTCTGGACTAATAACTTAGGCCATCTTGGAGCGCTAAAGCATGTTATTGTTATAAATACGTGATTGGTTGTTTTACTGGATTTTATTGGATTTTATGTATGGGCTGTAAGCCCCTGTAAGCCGCCCTGAGCCCGCTTGCGGGGAGGGCGGGGTAAAAATACCTAAATAAATAAATAAATAAATAATCACTATACTGTGCTTAGTCCCAATACTAAATACCTAATGGTATGCCCTGAAATAGATCCAGTATTTGAGAAAGAAGAGTTGATTTTTATATGCTGCTTTTCTGTACCCTAAGGAGTCTCAAAGCAGCTTACAGTCGTCTTCCCTTCTCCCCGCAGCAAGCACTTTGTAAGGTAGGTGGGGCTGAGCGAGTTCTGAGGGAACTGTGACTGGCCCAAGGTCACCCAGCAGGCTTCACGTGGAGGAGTGGGGAATCAAACCTGATTCTCCAGATTAGAGTCTGCCACTCTTAACCACTACATCACACACTCTCAGACCAGACTCAGGCAAATTGCTGCGTACTGTGCTACCTTTAGCGTGTGTATCTGCTCTCTAATTTTGAAATCCAGTTTTTATGCACTGCTCTTATTACACAGGGTTTTATTGCACTGTTGCTTAGTTGTGTCATTCACCTTGAATCTCAGTGGGAAAGGTGGAATATAAATGAAGTAAATAAATAAAAATGTGATTGCCTGAGGACATATACCATATTGTCTTGAGAGACAGAAATGTCCAAAATCAAGAGGGAGATTATGCTGAATCTGGACCACTTTGCAGGAACCATCTTGGAAACGTTAGGATATACTAGTTGAGCGTGCCTTCAAATTAGGCTTTCTGCAGGCCATCTTTATAATTTCTATAATACATGGTGCTTTTCTAAGCAATATAAGGGAAAAAAATCAGGTCTCTGTACACAAAAGCATACAGTTGACCCCATCTATTGAATTCCTGGCTGAGGTGATATTTGAACCTTACTGTTGCAGACTGTTAGGCACTATGCTACGCCTGTTCTCTGTTTATGATTTTGTTTGTTAATTGACATGCTAAATGTTAGTTTTAGAGGCTTTTCTATCCTGTGTATTGTAGATGGGTCATAAGTGCTTTGATTCCTTGCTGTTCCCATACAATGCAGTCGCTGGAGGCTGATCAACTCCCCCTTCCACGCCTTCTTTTTCAGATCCAGACGTTCAATGTTGAAGCACCCTGCCAGACAGTAGAAGATTTAACCAATGGAGTGGTGATGGCCCAAGTACTTCAAAAGATGTAAGAAAACATTTCTTTTTAAAAAAGAAATCATTGTAAACGTTGTCAGTTTATTCAGATTTTTAACTTTTTTGTATTCAGCTGCTGCAAACCTGCTATGTTGTGCTGCAGTTCTGAACACTTTTACAGCTTCACTGTAAGTGCTGCTGATGTGGAATTTGTTGACATAAATGTTTGGTGAAATGTTGGACTTCTTGTTTTCAAACTCAGAAAGCAAGTGCACGTATCTTTTTCCCTATACAGAACAAATATGTAATTTGGGAGAAAGTATATCTCAAATATGTAATTTGGGAGACAGTATGGTCCTTTCCGCACTTGGACCTCATCCCTGGTTTTATCAGAGTTCAACTCACGACACAACACCTTGCATTTATCCCTGGTTATAACAGCATCCGTCTATCCCGGGACAAGTACAGGGCAAAACCGGGGTGACCTCAAGGTAATGTGGAAACAAAAAATACCCCGAGATGATTACAGGGGTGAACTAGAGTGTAGTCTAGAATGTAAGTTCGGGGACAGGGTTGAACCCGGATTTAAGGTCTAGTGCAGAAAGGACCTATATCTCAAAGATCCAACTTTAACATGATTCCTAAAATAATGGAAAATCTAACAAGTTTACTAACATTAAACTGATAACAACGGTTGGTTAGTTTTCTCTGCTTTTATTATTATTATTTATAGAGTTCCTTCAATGTATTGGTAGTACTTCATAGAATAATGTTCTTAAGTAAAAGAGGCTGGTCCACTGGGGGGAGAGAAAGGATGAGAGGATGAGGCAAGAGCCTCTTACAGAAAATATACTAAATAAAAATAGGTTTGCATGTTCAGTGAATCATGCAGTAGCTGGGTAAATCATATGGCTAATATGACTAATAAACTCTCTGTATTTTCGTTCTTTTAAAGTTGCATTGGTTGTGACTTTGTTTATTGTAGCAAGTGAAAATCACCCCTTTGCCCCTGTTCTGCATCAGCCTGTCAACCTCGTGGCTGTATGGAGGCAGTGTTGGGGAGAGCGTTGTTGTTTGTGCAGTGTGCATTCTGGACCCTGTTTTCCTGCAGTGTTGTCTAGCATCTTTCACAAACCTAGACACGACTAAATGGAAGATTTTTCCTGCAGGCTTATATATTTATTTGAAACATCCAGACACCTATCTTTATTTTAACCCAGTCAGGACCTAGGATTCCTGATGTAGATCTTATTTTAAATAGACTTGCATAATAATGTCTTCCATAATAATGTCCTGTGTATAACCCTCCCCCGTTTGTTTAATTTGTTTTTTTTTCTATATCCTTGTCCTCCCACACAAGTAGGGTCGCCAGCCCATCCTCACACAGCAGTGGGAGCATTTGGTGGGTGGAGACTTGTAAAATGGTATTGTGTGACACCACAGCTTCATTTCTGCATAAGAACCTGGAAGTGACATCACTGCATCAAGTGATGCTCTAGGATTCCTCTCATTCTCTGTGGTGAAAACCATAGATATTGGGGAAATCCCTAGAGCGTGATGTCACTTCTGGGTTCCAGGCTGAAGTGATGTTACGGCATAGCATAATTTATTTTTTTATTTATTAAATTTGTACCCTGCTCTCCCAGTCAAGGTCAGCTCAGGTCGGCTTTCAGAAGGAATAAAAACAACAGTAAGTAATTTAAATAATCCTAAAACCATATAAACAATTCCATCATTAAAAGGTGCTAACAGATGGTGATCCAAATAAATTATTAGGAGAGTATCAATTTAAGTTTAAGATGGCGGCTGAGCTTCATTATACCATTCTAGTGGTTGACCCAGATCTAACATAGTGCAGCTGGCACAGGCTGTTTTGATGCCTTCAGGGAACATGGCTCTCCCTTGGGGCGGCTCCTAATTGAAAGCCTGGCAGAAGAGCTCCATCTTGCAAGTCCTGCGGAACTGCGTGCTGTTCTCTCCTGTTGCTCCATTATGGCAGGCAAACCCTCTACTCCCCAGTCTGAAAGCAACCTCTGACTTGCATTTTCTAAGTCTTTCTTCTTTGTTCCTCCATTTGTAGCGTCTTTTTGTCACCCCTAAGTTTGTTTCTCACCTGATCATTTTTGAAAAATAACTTTTGGTGTTATTGAGGATAGCTCATCTGTCTCTTTACTTCCCCCTCTGCCTTCATCCTCTTTGAAAGCAACTTCTCCCTCTCATGTTTGTCCTGCTTTTTTGTACCTCTGTCCTGCCACTGTCCTGCCTTTGTTTTTGGAAGACTCCTTTTTATTTTTTTATTTTGTTCCTCTTTATGGGAAGGGTTAAAAGATCTCCTAATCAGAAGAAACTTTGGATCTATTTACATATCACACCTTTATCCCACCTTTCATCCAAGGAGCTCAGGGTGGCTTACATGGTTTTCCACTCTTCTTTTTTATCATTGCAATAACTTATGAGGCAGGTCTGTGTAAGTATATGTGACTGCCCTAAGATTACCCAGAGAGCTTCATGGCTGGGTATTTGAACCTTAAGTGTCTCCCGTCCTAGCCTAGGGTCTCATAACATTAGAGAACACTACATTACCACCTATGTTGTGGGGTAGACATCCCAGTATTCTTTTCCCATCAGAATATAGTGAAAGATCCACCCTCTAAACAGTTTGTTCTTCAAAGAGAGCCCCCCCCCAGTTTTTAATTCCCACCCACCACCCACCCCTGTCTTCATCTTATGCTTCTGGCTTCATGGGGAAGGGCTGTGGCTCAGGGATAGAGCATGTGCCAAGTCCCAGGTTCAATCCCCACCATCTCCAGTTAAAAGAATAATGTAGTAGGTGATGTGGGAGACCTCTACTTAAGACCCTGGAGAGCCACTGGCCGTCTGAGTAGACTGTACTGACCCTGATGGACCCAGTGGTTTGATTCAGTATAATACAGCTTTATTGTTGTCAATTTCAGGGTAGCTTTTCATAATTAGTAAGATTCTGGGATGGGAGGAGTTTACTTTGTTTTATGTGATTTTAATGTGCTTTCTCAGTAGAATGAAATGTTTTCCTGATCCTACTTGCCATCTATTAATGTATGATTACTCTAGCAATTATCTTATGTTCATATGTAATATTGTTGTGGGATTGAACTTTCCAGTTGCCAGTAGAAAGGACCATTTGATTACTGAACTCAGCTGCAACTTGTAGACCCTAGTTCCCACAATAGAGCTTCCTCAGTCAGTCTGATTATAGGCAGGTACATAAAGATAGAGGTGGTCCTTCAGGTACCCTATACCCAAGGGTTTTGTGAAGAACACCATATTTCTACACATTCCCTCAATTTGATGAGCATCATTCTAGTATAACATACAGAGTAAAACAGTTAATTTATATAATTCTTGTATCAAACACAAAAAGTTTACTTACAAACACTGGAATGTTGTTTTCATTCATCTCCAATGGAAGTAGGAGAAAGTCTCTTTCTCCTAAGTGAAACCAGATTTTTTGTAGTTATTTGACCACTTCTCTTGTTTTCAGTTTCAGTCATCCTTTTATTGAGCACTGAAAATCAAGCCGTACTTCAAAAATTGTCTCATCAATTACTTTGAATGCTAGGAGAAGTTCAGAAGATAAAACTTTCAGTTTCTATAAAGAGCAGAATGTGAATTTAGCTCTTTCTGTTTAGGGCAGGTCAAGTTACAAACTTTGAATTGTGTGGTAATGGTAAAGGGTCAGGGTTCTTTATGATAAGGAGAATTTATGTTGGGAATGTGCAGGTTCTGTTTGTTACAGAGCTTCATGAGAGTGGGAAAAGCAAACAGCCATCAGTATTTAAGCCTTGTTTATGCATGGAGTTTTATTTCAGGATTAGCGTGTGAAATAGATCTTGGCCGTTGGTATAGCAGTGTTCATTTATGTTGTTAAGTAGATGGACACATTTTTTTGTTAACCTTGGGTGCATAGCTCAACGTTTAAATATCTGTCTTTCTATATTTTCTAACTAGAACAGTTATGTGAAAAATTCCTCTGAGAGTCTGTAGAACTCTTGAATGTTGTACAGACCTACCTGCTCAGGTTGTTCCAATGCAATTATCACGTGGCTTGTTGGAGTCCAGCTCTCTTCTGGACCTTATGGAGGCCCTCTGTATACCTAAAATAATTCTGTATAATCAGCTGATCAAATGTTTAAGTTGCAGAAATGGACAAATAATGCCAGCTTCACAGCATGTTGAGTAGATGAGGCAAAGTTTGATGGACATGTTTGAGTCACAAGATCTTATTTTATTCTGAGGAGCAATGTGTAGCTTCTGCAGGATAAGAGAGTATTTTGCAAGGCCAGTATTACAAGCTTCATCCTTCACACTAATATCTATGAATATATATGATACAAGTATGTTTGCCAAGTCATAAGAGTTGTATCTCATGAGACAATCCATCAAAGTGAAGGATTTAAGGATTTAATGTTATACACCCATCCATTATAGAGAAAGAGTGAGTGAGAGCGTTGCACTTCTTATGAAATCTCTCTGTATTCCCATGAAAGGCCCATACTATTGATTTAAATAGCTGCTGGCACTATGTAAATTGAGACTAGATATTGATCAGTTAATCTGATACGGCTAATCTGGTTAGTCCCAAAGACTTGGTTTCTCCCACAGAATTGCAAGTTAATTCTTGGACTTCAGTACTTATGAAACCTCATGCCTTAATGATACTAGATACCTTAATGTTAATTCATTAAGAATATATTGCTAAAGAGAATTCTGGAGAAGTTAGATTTAGATGTGGAAGTGCCAATTTTTGCAATTAGAGTATAACTTCCACTTTGAGTTAATGTGTACTGAATTCATTTTCACAAATGATGATGTAGTCTAACAGTTCTATATACAAAAATGTTCCTTCTAGAGTCTTGACATTTATCCACGGTATTTCTCTGTGCTCACTGTTAGGATAAAATAGTCAACACTCTGAAGTATAAAGAGAAAATGAAATCAGTTGGCTTGGCTTCCAGAAATAAATATGACAGACTGCAGCTTCTTCCTGATGTACTGACAACATCTGCCTGCAGAAAAGATCACCTCAGCCGTCTGAGTTTCAAAAGATTTAAGTCTGTTGAACTGAAATGCAAGGGGGGGGGGGGTCAGCAGCACACATGCCAAGCAGCAGCACAGCAGATCGTTTTGCTTGGCATGGTAGCTCTCCAGCAACACAAAAGCCAAGCACAACTCCTGGATCTTTTGTCCTGCACCTGAATCAGTGACATTAGAAATGTGAAGGCCTAGGGAAGAAATGCCCTGGAAAAATAATAACCCCCCCCCTTTCAATTTGTGCAATAGAAAAATTTGAAGATTTGGGGGAATTTCTATGAAATATTTTCTGTTTAGAATAAGTAAAATGCTTAAGGCAGGCTTTTTTATACGCCAGATCTATAGCATGGAAAAGTTTTTCCGACAGAAAAATTTGGGGATTTGGAGTAGCGTGGGGTGGAAAAACTTATACTATAGGCATATACAACATTTTCAAGATTTTTCTGTATAAATTAATTTTGCCAACAACGTGTTATAGCTCTTCTAATGGCAATACAAAGTTCAGTGTATTTGATGTTATAAAGTTTAATTTATTATCTAAACATGATTGTAGTACTGCCTGTTCTAGGGGAAAGTTTCTGTTCCAATAATACAATTTTGTTTGGTATAGAATTTGTCTTCTACCTTCAACGTTGATCTTTCTACCACTCGGATGGCAAAAATTAAAGATCCGTGTGCTATGGTAGCATAGGGTGCAGCAGTTTGAAAATCTTTCTCAAGTATTGGGTATACTTGCAGTTTTCTTATAGAAAATGACAGTATTTATATTTTTAAATTCCATAAATATCCATGTCAGATAGTACAATTTTTGTATGTCAACTAAGTTATAAATTATATATTTTATGTTGTTATATTATTAAAAGAGATTTAGGTTTGATAGGAAAGTAAGTATTGCATATATTTCAATATTTTCCAAAGTTGGGGAGGTGGTTTCCCTGGAATAGCGGGAGAAAGTCCCGTCCCCCCACGCCTTTGAAATTTCTGGAAATTTTACATCTCTAGATAGCATCAACTGGAACTTCTTCAAACACCACTCCCAGGGAATGCTAGCATCCCTGTGCTATACTGCACAGCTGTGCAATGCTGCTGCTCTGTGAGCTGAAATGTGACTTTGTTTTCTACCACTCATGCCAACATAATTTTTTTTGTATGTGCTGACATGAGTAGCAGATACTGTATTTCAGTAGCAAACTTACGCCTGCATATCAGTGTGATAACTTTGCCTGATCTCGTCAGATCTTGGAAGCTAAGTAGGGTTGACCCTGGCTGGTAAATGGATGGGAGACCTACAAGGAATACCAAGGTCGTGTTGGCAGGCAATGGCAAACCACCTTTGAACGTCTTTTGCCTTGAAAACCCTACGGGATTGCCATAAATCAGCTGTGACTTAACAACACTGTCCACCACTACTGTATGTGAATGTTCTAAAATACTATATGTTATTATTTACAGTGAAATGGCAAAGAGAATGAAAGAGTTTTTAGGCAAAGGGTAATACAGAATGGCTTTAACGTTCTTTGCTATCTTGTGCTTATTGTCTATAGTAGGAACCCACATATGTAGGCCTTATTAAAGAATTTCCAAATGTCAGCAGCCCCTCAGGGCGATCAGATGAAGACAGAGAACTAGTTTTGTGTACTGTAGCCTTACTAGGTGAAATGTTACCATTGCAGAATTTGTACCTACAGGGCATGGTTGGAAGGCATATGATATAGCTGCAATCTTGCTGAAGTTCAGTGCCTGCACAAATGGTGTTGTGGTCTTGTAGCTTTTCTTCCCTTAACTGCATCCTGGTACATTGCTTGAGTCCAGTGGCACCTTTATGACCAAAAAAATTCCATTCAAGGTATAAGCTTTTGTGTGCCTGCACACTTCTTCAGATACAAAGCTAATACTTTGAATAAGACTTTGTTGATCCTAAAGGTGCCACTGGACTCAAACTTTGTTCTGCTGCTTCAGACCAGCACAGCCACCCGCCTGAATCTACCTGGTACATTGCTATCATCGATTTGAAATTGATGGATAGTGAGAGAGTTGGATTAATCTTACAATAGCTTCCTTGATGGCCCCAGAGATTAGATCTTCTAAGCCTCAAGAGAACTAACAAACTGGTCTTGAATGCTTGCAGAGCAAAATGGGTCAAAAAATAGCAACCGGCTTTATGCAGAGCTCTGCATTCCCTGAAGTGCTATAACAGAAAACACAGTGTTTACCTCCCAACAGTGATTTTTAAAAAATAGTAAGCTAAAATGCATCCAAATAACTATTCATTCTGCTCCTTCAGTTCAGGCAGGTATTACAGAAAAGACTGCTGCAGGTCCAGTGTGACAGTTTAAGAAGAGGAAGGTGTCGGGGAGGGGGGGTGAACTGGTGGTATGATTTCCATTTTGTCTCAAAAAAACAAACCAAAAATATATATATTGTTGCATGCATTTTAGAAAGCATGACAGCAGGAAGGTAGGTGTCAGGCCAGTAATTCCTGAACAGTGTTCCAGGCAGGGCATGCTAGGATACCAAGAGGAATAAATTAAGCAGAAGTTCTTCTCTGTCTGCAAGGTCCATCTGTCTGCAGAGAAAAGCTGCCAGCTTCATTTCTGCATAAGTTGCTGCTCTTGCTTAGTAACAGCAAGGCCAAGGGGAGAAGGAGAATAGTGAGAAGGCCAAGGGGAGAAGGAGAACGAAGTTATATAATATAAAAAGAACAAAGTTATATAATATAAAAAGAAAAGCTAGATTTCTTGGTAATGTTCCATAAAGATGTCAGCAATTTAAGGAGAAAAGGAATCTTCCAGAGGATCTTCTCTCAGTGCGGGGAGGGGGGGGGAGGTATTCCTAACTTGCAAGAGATCAGATGGACAGATGTGCACAATAGGGTTGCCAGCTCTGGTTTGAGGAATACCTGGAGATTTTGGGGGGTGGAGCCTGGAGATAGGTTGTAATTGAAGGAGACCTAGCAGTGGATGAATGGAACTGCTTACTAGTCTGACTCATAGATGAACAATGTAAGAGGAAGGGCACCAGGTTGGTGAACCTTACCATGCTGTAAAGGGAATGGCTTAAGCTGGCTCCTTATTTGGGTAGGCTCAGGCTTGAGTGTTGTTGTGGAAAATTGGGAATAACCTTGGCACTACTACCGCCTGTCATGTCCCATTTCTCCATGTCATCAAGACCCCGTTGGTTACCTTGCTGGCCCTGGATAACTGGCATCGTCTTATGCTGTGCTTTTCCATGTTTCTGAGAAGCACTGTAAAGGCTGAGGTAATGACTGACAGTGAGTAACATTGCCTCTCTCAAGTTGGGAAACATATCCTCACTGTGCAGAAAGTGAAGGATGAGCCCTGTTTAGGCTTGGTGGTAGTTACACACTTTGAAAGTAAAACTTTTTCAGGTGCAAAATAAAGTTTGCCACCAGTAAGGTGCTTATGGCTCCCAGAAGTTTGGGAGTGTTAGACTTTAATAACTAATGTTTATTAAGTGAAGGGAAAGTGTAAATCTGAATGCTGCCTCTTTATTGCACAGCCATAAACACATACTAGAAGTAAGAACCACTGAAATTAATAGTGCATATTTCCTTGCATGGAATTGCACCCTTCATATTCTGTAATCCCTAAAAAGAATGTGTCTGTTTCTGTTGAATTACAAAACTGACCCATCAAAAGTGTGAAACAGAAAATTTGAATGCCAGTCATTTAGGATAATATATTAAGAATAATATATTACCGTAAGACTGAGGAATCAGTAATTTTATCAGTGTAACAGTAGGCTTCAACACACACACCCCTCCCCAGTAAACGTCAAAAAATGGGCTTGAGAAAGTAATTAGTCCTTTTTGGGATCTTAACCTTGATGTTAGAACTGTAGATTTATTTGAGAAGGAAGAATGAAGATGTTAAAACAGAGAATAATGGTAAAACATGTCTAGTTTCATGATCTGCGTGATAGAGTTTCAAGTTGAGTAGGAGGACAAGACAGAGTGTTGTGATACAGGATCTATAATAATCTGGTATTTCAAATGAATCTTTACATTTCTAGAAATTCTGTTTTGGGCTGGTGAGCATGGTACATATTCATATTCCAGACAATGAAATAAAACAAAAAAACCCAGAACATTATTAACCTATTGTTATTATTTTATTTGCGGTAACTGTAGTGAAAACCAAATGTGATGATTTAGAATCTACAAGTTTGTTTTTAGGTACACATTTTTAACAAGTATATGCATTTCTCCACTTAGAGATCCAGCATACTTTGATGAAAATTGGTTAAACAGAATCAAAACAGAAGTAGGAGACAATTGGAGACTGAAGGTATTGTAAATTTTAACTTTACTTTGTAAAATATTGCCATTATTTGTGTGTGATTTATAGCTCAGGGGAAGATTCTAAATGTCTGAAATGTGTCAGCCAAACAGCTAGCCGAATGAATCACATAAGAATTAATCCCTGTTTAGCCCTGCTATGGTTTAGTTTTGTAACTAGTTCCAAAGTGTTACTCAAATGTAAAACTTTCCCCCTATGTGTGCCACTTCATGCATCCTGTGTTATCTCTCCTTATATATAAAAGAGTTTTTGTGTGAGACTCTTCCACATGCCTCCCCAGGCTTTGGGTCCCTGATCTGTCGCTCAGGAGGGGGTCAATCCCCTGGCGGCGGCACCTCCATCCCGCCCACAGACCCACCGGACAGTGTCTTTCCATTAGTCTCCAGTGAGCTGCTGAGCAGAATGGACGCTCCGGTGGCTGCATGCCTCTGAGACCCACCACCTCACTGCCCGGCCCGCATGGGGCCACTGGCCCGCGGAGCACTCCAGCCCGCTCATGCAGCTGGGAAACACAGCGGCCAGCCGGCAGCCCGCGCTGTGAGGCCGGTAGGTAGGGGTAGTGGGGAGAGGAAGGGTGGCACCTCTGATGCAGCGGCCGGCCAAGCCACAGGGAGACCTGGGGGCCGCCTCCCGGCAACCCCACAAAAGTTTGCTCCGCAACTTCCAGCACCCCATTCGCCTCCAGGGCACAGCACGGCCAAGCTCCTTGCAAAGCTCCACTTGCCGGACTCGGCGGTCACTCCACTCCGCTCCCGGGTTTGCCTCTGAACAGGACGGCAGGCGAGGGGCCAGAGCCGCGTCCCCGGGCTGCCCTCTCCTCTCTACCTCTGGCAAGCATCGCACAGTGCGCGCAGCCCCCACTGCCTGCTGCGCTTTCTCTCTGGAGCCGCTGAAGTGAGACCACCGTGGCTGCAGTGGCGGCGGCAGCCCCAGCACCTCCCCGGAGAAAAGACGGCCAGGGAGGCACCGGCGAAAGCTGCGGGGCAGGGAGATGCCGGCCACCACGGACGCTGACGCCGACTTCCTAAAATGGTGCAAGAAGGAATGTGGGAGCCAAGCGGTTGAAGTTCAACAAGTTAATGTCTGGATTGTGCCCACAATACAGTGGGAAGGCAGTACAGATGTGTGTTATAGCCTTCTCCTATCGATCTTTTGTTTATCCTTTAGATACTTCAGTTCAGTTGCTCTCCTCTGAAGTGTTTGGATTTTTATGCTATGTAGATTGTGATCAAAACTCAGCATGGTAATTTAGTTGACATTTAACCAGCTATTTCTCTAGTCTTCCAAACAGCTTCTGCCAATGCAACCTCAGATGGCACTTAAATTTCCCCCCATAATAGCATTTCATGACCAAGGCTCCCTCTAAGCTGTGGAGTATTGCGAGCAAAAATTCTGCTTTGTGAGCTCCTGGTATTAAAGTTGTGAGCCAGCGATTTGGCAGCTGCATAAATTAGTTTGCTCTGCAGACATCCTTCCTGAGATGAGACAAAAATGTGTGAGCTGGAGGCTAAAAAACTTGTGAGCTAGCTCACACTAACTCAGCTTAGTGGGAACACTGTTCATGACTCACTCACAGATCATATTTCACAATGTTTATCTGTAAAATTGGGGTGCCCTTTCTAGGTGGGAGCTAGGTTAATGCTGTGTCAAGAGGAATTCTCCTGACACTGCATAAAAGTTTTGTTGTAGAAGAAACACTGTGCTAGAATATTTGGTCAATAGTGAAGTAATTTTTCTAGAGTTTTAGAGTACTTCAGTGGTCATATACAATAGTTATAGAATAGCAACCTGACTTTCTGGTTTTTTAAAAATGACTGTTGTAGCTTTCACTCAGTGTAAGAATCTCTGAATTAATGGCCTAAAGTCCTACCCTGTTGGTTTCTTTGCATCACCCACATGTAAGGTTAAATGTAGTATATGGCGGTGATTCACAGCGGTCTACAAATTTTAGAAAGTTTTTTATTCAATATTGAATTTATGGTGGTGATTGCTATCGATAATGCACTTCAGAATTTGGTCCCCTATTGAGTTTATTTGAAAACTGTCCAAATGTATTAATTTCTGTGGTACTTTCTAAGTTCTGATTGTTTTTTAGCTTTGTAACTTCATTTCCATGTGTTTCATGATTATTAATGTGGAAGCTGCTGTACAGAAAGGGTCAACAACTGGAGTCCCCAACACCAAATGTGCACTTCCAGGCTGGCAAGATAGTGTGTGGAGAAAGTATTGTCTCTGGCATCATGGTTTGCTGGCAAATTGATCTGGTAGATGGGGTGGCCCTAATTTGCCAGTCTCCATTTTCTTCTCAAAGTAGGCCTGTCCATAATACTAATTACTAACCAGGGCTTTACATCAGAGACAAGAGAAGGGTGAATTAATCATCTTTATGTTTGCATTACATGTCTGCAGAAGGCAAAGGCCAAATTGCCTTTCTTTGGAGTCTTTTTCAGGCTAACCTGCTGATGATCTAGAGGTAACATAGGAACTTCTGTCATCGAATCTTCTGGGCTATTAAAAATCAAGCAGTTGAAAATTGCTCACATTATCTTCATTATTCCACATTGATTTTAAATTCTCAAAAGCTTTTGCTTAATTGCTTCATGGTGGCACTGTTATGCTAGGGGAACTTAGAACATGATAAATGACTCTTGTGTGCCTCCGTGTCTAATCTGGCTTTGTGATGATTCGTGGTTGATTTACTGAGTTCTTGAAGTCTGTTTTTTACATACAACAAATGTCTGTATCCTCCTGAGGCATAAAGAATATTCAAGCAGCTTGAGAGGAAAATTTTGAACTGCGTTGATCAAGGAAATAAGTTTCTGACCTCTTGCCAAACAGTACAGTATTAGCAGATACACAGAGTTTGGAGTGATCTTCTCATAAAGACTCCGGAAGGAGTTTTTCTTGGCAGTGGCCTCATCTTTTTTTGTCATAATTGGGTTAAATCATTTATTTTTATTTATTACATTATATTTATTAATTGCTTAATCCCCACGATAGTGGCGCTCTAGGCGATGTACAAATTTTAAAAAAACATAAAACCGTATCCAGCAAATTATCCAGTAATTAAAGCAAGTGGCTAAAATTTATTGTATTTGTATTGTATCATGGAGACAGTGTTTTGTCTGTGAGTCAGCTCCAGGTATATGAGTTTGTACAAGGCACTCAAGAACTCTCTTGTTTTGCACGAATGAGTTTGATAGTTTTAACAAATTTATGCATCACTTTCCTGAAGTGCTTCCAAAGCATTGTATGAATAAATAGTCTGCTGTGGAGTCTCAGTTTCCTCATGACAACCCCATCCGCGGGGTGTTCCAGACAAGAGATGAGCAGAGGTGCTTTGCCACTGCCTTACTCTGCATAGCAACCCCTATGTTCCTTGGTGGTCTCCCATTCAAGTACCAACCGTAGACAATCCTGCCTAGCTTTCCAGCTCTGACAACCATGGGCAAAGCTGGACTATTCAGGCTGCTAAAAAGCATTGGTCCTGTTCATACGAGCCGTTTGGGCCGGGAGAAGGACGGATCAGGGCCGGAGCAAACAGGCGCGATCCCACAGCAACATCTGGGGAACGTCGTGCTTCCGTCTCCGATCCGTCCCATCCCGCCCATACAGCGCAGCAAAAAAGAACCACCTCCCTAGGTGGTTCTTTCGGATGGGCCGCGGCAAGTGCGGCCGTGGGATCGCCGGCGCGTCCTTGCGCCGGCGCATCCCCGGCTCCTGGACGAACTGCGCGTGTGTGAGCATGCGCAGTTCACCAGGCTCCCCTTTGCACCGTCGCATTCTCCCCGGCATCTGATCGTGCCGGGGAGCAATGCGCTGCGGCTGAGGGGATCCGTGGGATCCCTCCGCGGCGTGTCAAGTTTGGTGCGGCTCTGCTTAGCCGCGTTCCAGCCGTCCCGTGTGGCAGGGACCATTGTAGAGTAAAATCTGAAAATATTATGGAGCTAATACAGTGCATGCATACAGTGAAAGTATGTAAGGAAGTTGGGTATTACAAGTACGGTTATTAGGGCACGCAGAGTATGTTTGACACTCTATTTGGGAATTGCCCTCCTGATGCAACTGCCAAAATATTTTTAGCAACTGACAGTCTCAAAACTAAGAAGAGCTTTTACTTTGGCAAGAATTAACATTCTTCCCTCAGTGGTTTTGGAGGGCAGATATAATGGTCTAATGGAACATGCAGATGCTCATATGTTAAAATTGAGACCATCAAACATGATTATGGAGTGCCCTATATTCAACGAGTTGAGGGCTAATTTAGTCACCCCTTTACTTAAAAATATGAAATTGCTAAATGTGCGAACCAGGTGTCATGGTTACTATTGTATACAAATGATCGTGTAACCTTCTCAGTGGCAAAATTCATAGGCTCAATAATCAAATATAAGAAAAATAATACTGAGTAAGGTTTTTAAAATAGTTTTTAGTAAAGAAAGAAAGAAAGAAAGAGAAAGAAAGAAAGAAAGAAAGAAAGAACGAAAGAACGAAAGAACGAAAGAAAGAAAAGTGAAATTAAGTAACATGCAAATTAAAAACCTAAGAACAGAAGAAAAATCAGCAGGAGTTAAAAATTATAAGGCAATCTGAAAAGCAAGTTAAAAAAGAAGCCTTTACCTGTTTCTGGAATGCCGGGAGTGATGATGCCAAATATGCAGTCAAGTAGCCTGTGGATTGGTATTCCAGGACTGAACAGCTAAGATCTTTGTAGAGGTGACAGAGAATAAGCAACTTAAGATGCTACACTGCAGATCAAGCTACTTTAGCAGTGTAACAGTTTGAAATGCTTAATATTTCAGAAATATAGTTAAAGATAAGGTGGGCCAACCAATTGCATGCATCCGAGAAAGGGGAATTAAGAGAGATTTTGCAAGTGACTCCTTATGCACTCTGAGGCATTTAGTGTGCTTAGGGTTGCCAGCTCCGGGTTGAGAAATGCTTGGAGATTTTGACGGTGGGACCTGAGGAGAGCAGGGTTTGGGGAGGGACTTCAGTGGGGCATTATACGATAGAGTCTACCTTCCAAAATGGCTATTTACTCCAGGTGAACTGATCTCTGTCACCTGGAAATCGGTTATAACCCCAAAATATCTCCAGCAACCACATGGAAGTTGGCAAAACTCAGCGTGATGCTGCTTTTTTTTTACCTGTTATGATTTTTTGGTTACTCAAGAACACAGCCTGTATTGGTATTGATTTGTTTTCCCATTGAATTGACTTTAGAAATAATTTGCCAGAAATCTGTTTCTGTTCATGCTTGGTACTTTTCTGATGCTAGGTGCTGCTATGTGATGCTTCAGATGAAAAACATCTATAATCTGGACAATCAGTCGGCTAATTTTCTTAGTAAATTGTGGCTTGCCACTGAGCTGGTGTCCTCATTCTGTTTGATGATCTTTACAGAGCTGTGTTAATCACCGAGGAGTGATTTTTCATTTATTTGCTTGGTCAAGTTCTACTTCAAGTATAGATCAAGTCTGTTCTTATTTACACAACATAAAAATGCTTTTAACGTAAGCCTGGCAAACGTTGTTGAATGCTTTTGATGGACCAGAAGATCTTGCCAAAATAAAAAGCATAAATATTTGTTTTATGTTGACTAATGAGAAGATTAAAGAGAACTATTTTAACACACAGTTTTCAGGTTAGAGGAGATGCAAAGCCAACTGACCTTGGCTCAAAACTAATTGAGAAATATATTTAGTAAAAGTTATACCACTTTTCAACCTGATAAACCCCAAAGCAACTAACAGTAAAACCAAGATGGGTAGCCATGTTAGTCTGCCTGTAGCAGTAGAAAAGAGCAAGGGTCCAGTAGCACCAGTTTGGTATGCTTTTTAGAGCACAAACAACAAAAGCCAGCACTACCAAGTCAAAATGTCCATCAGAAGAGGTAAAAACCATAATAGCAGAGCAACTAAAACTCTTTGGAGCCAAATACTTACACGTTAAAATAGATCAGCCACGTCTAAATGCCTATGGATGGAGCTGAATGGGCAGTGAGTTCAATGGTTGAAGTTGCCATTGAGAATTCCCTGTCCTCTGTTACTACTCAGTCAGTTGAGGCATACAGAGGAGGGCACCTGCCAATCATATAAGATTGATTCTGGAGGTTGTGGTGCAGTATTTTGTCCACAGAGTTTTTACGATCAAGAGCAGTATCTTGAATGGGGTATGGAAACAAAGTGGTAGTCAGCGTTCTTCTTTCAAGATTATGGCTGCTGGTGCATTTTTCCCCCCTTGGGCATGTTCCCATGAGAAGATTGAATCTGGAAATCATTACAGAAACATAATCGTCTGATCTTAATAATTAATTGTTTTAGTCTAAGGCCTCTGTTTAGAAAAGCAGATTTCTGCAGATTTCAGTGCGTGATTGCATTTTCTTGTGGCTTGTATCTCAGTTTCTGAATTGCATCTTTTTCCTTCCCCTCTCCCCTCACAAAGGTAAGCAATCTGAAGAAAATTTTAAAAGGAATCTTGGATTACAATCATGAGGTAAGTGCTTTTAATCAGCTCTGCAAGATTATAGCTACATTTTATTCTGTTTATAAAATGCATTATGTTCCATCTTTGTTGGCCTGTATCCTGCTACTTCTCTCAACATTGTCAGGACCCTTCCTCTACTTTAAGTTAGCACTTCCTCTTATGGTAGAGCCACTTGACTTGGATTGGATAAAGGCTTCAGACTTGCTGATAGATGTGATTGGATATTTACGTATAATACTTGTCTAACATGATGCGGTGGCTCAAGTGGTTAAGACGCTGAACTGCAGGCTGTGGAAGGTCGGTAGTTCAGCAGTTCGAGACCCGGGTGCACCGCATGACGGAGTGAGCTCCCATCTCTAGTTCCAGCTCCTGCCAACCTAGCAGTTCGAAAGCAAGAAATTGCAAGTAGATAAATAGGTACCGCTTCGGTGGGAAGGTAACAGCGTTCCGTGCGCCTTGGTGTTTAGTCATGCCGGCCACATGACCACGGAAACGTCTTCGGACAGCGCTGGCTCTTCGGCTTTGAAACGGAGATGAGCACCGCAACCCTAGAGTCGGATTCGACTGGCTTTCGAGCAAGGGAACCTTTACCTTTTTAACATGATGCAGATAAGGACAACTAAGCTTAAAAGTTCAGCACTTAGTGCAATAAACTGATTTTAAATCTCCTCCAGAATGTAGTATTAGATACTAAACTTAAAGGTTTGATTTCAGTTTTGAGCATTAAAAATTATTCTAAGTGACAGTTTCATGTGAAAATGTAGTTTATCTTTTGGGTTTGTAATTTCCTGAAGTCAAACAAGATTCACAAAATTTTAGTACCCAGCATAGGGGATATGCAGAAAATATGCTTTCTTGAATGTTGGGGGAGGGGGGGATATTGACATTTTTGGAACAAATTTTAAAAAGTTGGTGGACAAATACAATTTTAAGTTCCTATAATTTTTCATACTCGGATGGTAATTAATTATCAACCTTTTGTGTAATTAGTAGTGGTTTCTCCTTATTTGAAAGACCCCATATATTGTACTTCAATCCCATTCCAGTTCCACATAATAGCTACTGATGTTGATGGACGAAACATATATTCATCAAATCCATTGATTAATTATATAGTGTAGATGTGGATGGGCAGCCATGTAGCCAACGGCCTATGGGCATGCCATACTGATTGGAGCTACAGTGTTTTTGGTATTATTATTGTAACTACAAGCTTATAAACAATATTTAACATATTATATGCACCTTGATTTTTGCATACCCTATAGAACACAAGTTTTTCATTTCCCATCTGTTGAATGATTTGACTCCAAACACTGATATATTTTAGTTTTCATTTTTTTTAAAAAAAAGTTGTTAATCTAATTGTACAAAACATGCCTTTTAACTTACTTATCCATTCCCTTTTGCTTGGAGTATCTACCAAATTAAGTATGAGCAGCCATAGTAGCATCCAAAACCAACTCTTGCAAGCTACAGGGAACTTTGCCACATAATTTAATAGCAACAGTTCTTGTGCTCTTGATATTCTGAAATCAGTATGATCTTGAAATACTTAACGCTGTCATTTTCCAGTGTTCACATGTGTGGGGGCACTCGTACCACAAACAGTAAAAAGAGGCATTTCCAATACCATAATACCATCAATTTCCAGCTGTGTTCTAAATTTGTCCTGATCTGCTTGGTAATGTGTATTATTGGTTAACAGTTTTCATAATGTTCTCCCTGAGCAATAAATTTACTGTAAATATAGAACACTTTGTAAGTAAGAAGCAGTGTTCCCTCTAAGCTGAGTTAGCGTGAGCTAGCTCACAGTTTTTCAGCCTCCGGCTCACAATTTTTTTGTCTTAGCTCAGGAAGGAGGGCTCCAGAGCAAGCTAATTTATGCACTAGCCATATTGCCTGCTCACAACTTTAATGCCAGTAGCTCACAAAGTAGAATTTTTGCTCACAAGAGCCCACAGCTTAGCGGGAACATTGGTAAGAAGCTCCATACTGCCAAATTAACTTGATACTCTAAATTTCTTTGCCTCCAGGATCTTGAATGTGATGCATGGGTTGTGCACGTCCATCCCAAATAGAGCAGCCGTATTTTGAAGCCTCCAGTTAAATGGAGCTACCTAACTAATTTCATCTGAGGTCTTTAACTGAAGGCTAAACTATATGCTCCCCAGCAGACCTGGGTATGAGGTCCCAGGTTGCTGTGCAACAGTATGCAATATGTTTGGCATCCTGAATCTGCTGTTTAACATTTAGTTTGAACCCAAGATTTGAAACCTGTCAGACACCAGATGTTTTCTGCTTACACCATTTTGTCATGGCTGTGCATTTTTGTATGAATATATTTTGGTCTCTGCACAGATTTTGGGGCAGCAAATCAATGATTTTACTCTTCCTGATGTCAACTTGATTGGGGAGCATTCAGATGCTGCAGAGCTTGGAAGAATGCTCCAGCTCATTCTGGGATGTGCTGTAAACTGTGAACAAAAACAAGGTGGGTGAACCTTGCTTAAACACTGTCCTCCAAACTGGGAACACAAGACTTTTTTTTTTTTTAAGGCAAGGCATGGTTTTATCCGTCTATTAGCATATTTTGTGTATGTCTTCAGATGACTATGTGGCCTAATAAACTGTCAAGTCACCATCAGATTATAGCTGATTTATGGCAACCCCAGCAAGGGGCTTTCAAGGCAAATGAGAAGCAGAGGTGGTTTGCCATTGCCTTCTTCTGCAGAGGCTTCCTTGGAGGTCCCTCTTTCAAGTACCAACCCTGCTTAGCTTTGGAGATCTGATGACATTGGACTATACCATGTCACCTTCCCTCCCGAGTGTCCTCTGGAAAGACCAAGAAATGTTTAGCAGCAATGTTCATTTCAGAGTTAGCTGTTTTAGTCCTTAGCATATGGCGTAAACCTGGTAAAGGCCAAATGATACATTCCATATTTTTGATCATCTCAGATATGAATGACTGCCTGACAAATTGCTCTTTTTACAGAATATATCCAGACCATCATGATGATGGAAGAGTCTGTTCAACATGTAGTCATGACAGCCATCCAGGAGGTAAGGAATTTGACTCTGGTCTAGAAAATATACATGTTCATTATATCAGGTATGCTTCTTTTGGCTTAAGTCACAGCCGAAAGAAGCAATTTACCTATAGATGTGAAATTCTGAGAAATCAGAAATTTTGTTTTCCTCTGAGGGAAAATAAAATTTCTTCTAATGTAGGTTATAGAATTCAGTCAAACATTCCACTTTTCTTTAAATCCAGAAGGTTTAAAGTTCTGGATGCTGATTCTAGGTTCCCTTCCTTTGTCTTTCCTTTCCCTGTGGCTCCCACAGTACTTCAGAATTGCTCGTTTAATTAGCAGCACAGGATTTAATTGATGAACTTCATTTCCATTAATATCAAGTCAAAGTGTCAAGCTCTGGAAAAACAGTTTTCAGGTCAAGTGAAACGGGGTGTCGGTTGTCTGATTACTTGTACGTGAACATACTGTACAGTAATAACGTCTTCATATTTATTATTTTACTGAAATAAGTACGGAAATGAGGGACAGCCCCAGCTACTTAGCTGCTTTTATGTCTATGGATTCAGTTGAAAAGTTCAACGTGTGCTTAAATATTTTGCAGTGGGCATAACATAACCCCAAACCTTTGGCTGGATCGTGCCACAAGTTTTTAAAAGTTTAGTGACCTTACATGTTTTGAGAAGCATCATTTGTGTAGCCTCTGGTTCCTGTTGAAGAGATGGAAAAAAGAATAGTAAAGTAGGAGGAAGTCATTACAGCTTCTTGCTAGCCTGTGGCATGAGGAAGCATAGTATTGTGCAACCTGACTCTTTTTAGCCTTGAAGAAATCACATCTGAATCATGATTCAACAAGAAACTTCCCTGTTAGGCTTTCGGCTGGCGTGAGAGGAATGTAACAGGCAGTACAGTGAGGATAATCCAGAGCCCTACTTAACCAGTGCCAGCTTTCTCCATTGCTGTTCCCTTCAGGCAGTTGAATTTCTTCCCTCTTGCAACTGAGGTGGAGACAAATGGGTTGCATCCAGTGGAAAAGTCTGTCATCAACAGAATGGGACTTTCTTGCTTCCCCCATTTCATTTTACTTCAGAGAGCTCCCCAAAATGCTACTCATGGGGGACCTCCAGGCGCTGCAGTTCAAGGAAGGATTGAGCAGAAATCTCCCCCACTGCTTTCACTGCTGCATCCAACCACATGTAGTGATAATCCAGGCCTGGCACAGAATAGTAAGAGCTATTTCTTCCTCTGAGAGGAGGACATCTTGCTGGGTGTTTCCCACCCTATCCTTAGGGAGGCAGGAACTAAACTTCACTTCCTATCCTCTAGGTGGGACACGCCCCTCAGCTCAGTTTTGTTCATGCCTCGATAGGGAGAGCAGCAAGTAGTCGGCACTCGTGCCTTATTCTAAGCTTTTCCTGATTTGCAAAAAATCTACTTTCTTCACCCATCTCCGTACTGCCTTCTCTGCCTTCCTCTCAACTCTCCTCCTCGCCCTCTCGCCTTACCTGCTCTTATTTCCCCCCTATTTTCATCTTGCCTGAAGCTCCGGCTGGGGCATGTTAGGCCGGGAGGACTCGGACGGCTTCTTTTCAGAGACCGAGGGGGACGGAGCTCTGCCGCCTGCACAAGACCCCACATTCAAGGGGAAAGTCATGTCCTCTTCTGCCGTGGCAGTGGCGCCATTAACGCTAAAGACAAAGCACGCCAAAAACGTCCGCACTCCTCGTCAAAGGAAATGCAGCGGGCACCATTTTGGACAAAGCGGCAAAACAAAAAACCCATGAGGGAACAGGGGAGGGCTGCGGGGCGGCTGTCGCTGCTTCCATAAGCCAGGACACAAACGCGGATGGCGTGTTGTCCATTCCCAATACTCAAGTGCCTATGGAGACGGATCCCGAGATCACCCATTCTCCTATGGATCTACCCGTGAGTAACCCCGACAGGGGCGGAAGCGCGCTACTGACGCCTGAAATCATGCAATTTTTCAGGCGGGCCATGAGGGAAGAAATCTCTGTTCGCCAACGCAGTTCCCATACCGGGGATATGGGTCCCTGCCCCTCCCATTCCTCCACTAGTTGTTGCCCTCAGGGAGGTCTGGATAGAAACCGTCCAGAGGAGGGAAGACTTTCCTGGCGAACTAAAGCGGCTAGAAAAGAACACTTTTGCACTATGAGGGACGATCCCCAGTGGGACCTCTCACAGATTGAGGACAGTGAAGCTGGGGACAGGGAAGAAGGGGAATTTCTATCAGATGAGGTGGCGGAAGAGGAGATGGATGTACCAGAACCTTCTATGAGATTTTTCAAGTCTGAGGACTATCAGTATTTGCTTAGAAAGACTATGTCTGCCTTAGAACTTTTACCTAAAACCAAGGCAGACAATCCCACTAACTCTAACCCCTGTGATGGGTCCCGAAGAACCCCAGGGATGGAGACTATTTCCCAAGAACCCCAGGGATGGAGAAGGTTTTTCCCTTCCCTGAATTTCTAGAAAAACAGTTGGTTAAGGAATGGGCTAAGCCTCTGGCTAACAAACATTGTCTTCCTAATGTTAAGAAATGTATGCGCTGCCTAATTTCACTGATAAGCTTTTACAAGTCCCTGTAGTGGATGCTCCAATTACTGCACTCCAAACAGCAGGCCTACTTTCTGAAGATGGTGAAGGCATGGTGCAGGACAGCCTGGATAGAAAAGCAGAGTTCGCATTACACAAGGCCCATGAGGCCACAGCCATGGCCATCGGAGCAACTGCCACAGCCATGGTAGTGGCAAGGGGCTCTATTGCCTGGTCCAAGAAGATGGTCCAGTTTATCTCAGACTCCAACAAGCGCTTAGCTGAGGAAGCGAATAGACTTCTCCAGGCTTCATTATTCTCCACTGACGCCACTCTCGATGCCATGATTTTTTCCTGCAGGACTTTGGCCTCCACTGCTGCTGCCAGAAGAACCCTCTGGCTCCGAGCTTGGCAGGCTGATCTCCATGCCAAGGCCATTGTCACAGTGTACCCTTTTCAGGGCAACCACCTCTGTGGAGATGTATTAGACAAGTTACTCATCGAAACAAAAGATAAAAAGAAGGCGATGCCCAGATCCCTGGGCAGACTAGATAGGAGGGGCACTGGCAATTTTTCCTTTTGAGGTCAACGATCCTCTTACAGGTTTAATAGAGATGGCAGACGCTCCTCTTGGAGAACTTCCAAACAGAACTTCAGAAGAAACCCCTTCCACAACAGACCAGGCAGATCCTTCTCACCCAGAAATGACAAATCAGGAAGAGACAACAAGAGTCCAAAGGCATGACTTTGTGTCAGTGCTGGTGGGGGGATGTCTGCTTCTTTTGGGTCGAGTCCAATGCAGATGCCTGGTCGCAGGAGGTCACCGGCAAGGGCTACTCTATCGAATTCCTAAGCAGACCTCCAGACCGTTTTGTGCCCTCACCAATAATAAAAAAACCCAATCAAGCTGAGGAGGACTTTGGGTGCCATCCACCATCTTTCCAACATTCTAGCCATCGAGACTGTTCCCCCGGAGGAGAGGGGACAAGGTGTCTATTCCATCTTCTTTACTGTTCCAATGCAAAACGGAAGCTGGAGAGCCATTCTGGACTTAAAATTTCTAAAGTTGTGAAATTGAGACGTTTCCAGATGGAGACTCTTCGTTTCATTTGCAGAGGCCCTTCAGCCAGGAGAGTTCCTAACGTCAATCTCCTCCATGTTCCCATTTTCAGTGGTCACAGGCGGTTTCTAAGATTTTGTGTTTAGGGTCAACACTGGCAGTTCAGGGCACTGCCCTTCGGGCTATCAACCGCCACCAGAGTTTTTTCCAAAATCTTGATTCATCCCATTGTCCTTCTAAGAGAAAAGGGTGTACATGTCCACCCTTACTTGGACGATCTGCTGATCCGCTCAGCCTCGCGCCTCAAGTCCACACAAGATACAGAGATCACCATCCTATGTCTGCAAACTCACAGTTTCTTGGTGAATCTTCAGAAGAGTTGTCTCGTCCCATCTCAAACCATCAAGCATTTAGGGGTGATTCTGTACACAAACCAAAACCGTATGTTCTTGCCCAACTCCAAGGCAGAAAAGATACACGACCTTTGCTGACAGGTCATCGGGAGCAGACAATCGTCTATCATGACTCTTGCCAAACTGGTAGGTCTATTCATTTCCTGCATAAACACGGTTCCTTGGGCCCGACTACATGAGAGACTGCTACAACAACTCTTGTGACCCTTCCAGCTCAGGATTATGAGACAGGACGATGCACCTGTCGAAATCTCTTCCAAGGTGAAGTCCAGCCTCACCTGGTGGACCAAACCACCACACCTTCTTCAGGGACGTGCGTATTACGTGACGGAGTGGAGGCAAATTGTCACAGATGCCAGTCAACACCCCAACACAGGGCCTGTGGTCCAAGGAGGAATGGAAGCTCCCAATTAATCTCTTAGAACTAAGAGCCATCAGACTGGCACTTCTTCATTTTCACACTCAAGTTGCCGGCCATCATGTCTTGATCAGAACAGACAACATTGCCGCCAAATCTTATATAAACAACCAAGGGGGCTTCAGATTTTCGCATCTTCGCCAGGAGGCGTCGCAGCTCTTTCTTTGGGTGGAGACCAACATAGCTTCCATCAAGGCAGAACACATAAAGGGAGCCTTGAATACACAGGGAGACTGGCTCAGTCACTGCCAGCTGCAGGAAGAGGAATGGTCACTGAAGTGGGACCTGTTTCTATTGATAGTGGATCACCTCGGTCATCCAACTGTGGACCTGTTTGCTTCTCCACTCAAATTTCAAGTGAAGAGATACTTCACTAGGTTCTACCCTCAAGGTGCGGAAGGAGCAGATGCCCTGACATCTCAGTGGCCGCAGGGCCTGATGTTCGCGTACCCTCCGACTCCAGTCATCCCAAGACTTCTCAGAAAGATAAGGGAGCAAAGGGCAGAAGTCATTCTAGTAGCACCTTATTGGCCACAGAGGCCGTGGTTCTCGGAGCTCCAGTGTCTGTTGATCCAACCACCTCTTTGGCTACCAGTGACTCCCGACATGTTGACGCAGGGTCTGGTCTGACACCCAGATCCAGGATGGCTTCATCTGACCGCCTGGCAATTGAGCGGGACAGACTCCTCAGGTTCGGCTAATCTGAGAAGGTGACTAACACCATGCTGGCATCTAGGCGACAGTCCACCTGCAGAATTTATAACACTACTTAGAAGGCCTTTGTGAGATGGGCCAGAAGGAAATCGATTGACCCTCTTCACCCTCGCTTCAGGAATGTCCTCACTTTTCTTCAAGACGGCCATAACTCCAGCCTGAAGGCTTCCATACTCAGGAGACAGGTGGCGGCCCTTTTGTCAGTGTTACCATCCTTCAAAGGTTGGGGCCTTTCCAAACACCCCCATATCAAATGCTTTCTTAAGGGGCATCGGTTCGGGATCCTCCTACTTCCCATAGGTTCCCTACCTGGTGATTAAACGTAGTCCTTAACGCCTTGACCAAGCCTCTATTTGAGCCTATCAAGGAGGTTTTGCTGAAGTGGCTCAGAATGAAGACACTGTTTTTGGTGGCTGTCACATCAGCTCGCCGAGTATCGGAGCTTGGAGCCCTCTCTGCCAACCCAAAACTCTGTATCTTCCATAAGGATAAAGTCATGTTACTGCTGGAGCCTACCTTTCTACCCAAGGTCGATTCCAGGTTTCACAGGTCTCAGGAGATCTGTCTTCCTTCTTTCTGTCCGAATCCTTTCCACGCACAAGAGCACATCTGGCACACGCTCGATATCCGCCAAGCCCTGAAAGTTTTTCTCCATCGCACCAGCGCGTTTAGGAAGTCGGAGGCCCTGTTCATATCGATCTCTCCACCCAACAAGGGCTGTAAGATGTCCAAGTCCACAATCAGCTCTACTCTCAAACACGGTATTGCCGAAGCATACAGAGAACAAAAAACAGTTCCTCCTCCATCACTGCGCACTCGATTCGTAGTGCGGCGACCAATGCGTTATTTGCTAACCGTGCCACTGTAGAGGAAATCTGCAAGGCTGCCACGTGGTCATCAGTGTCTACTTTAGTCAAACACTACAAGATCAACGTATTCGACGCCGCAGATGCTGCCTTCGGACGGAGAGTTCTTCAAAGAGTTCTAGCAGACCATGACGATGACCCACTCAGATGATAAGGACACTGCTGTAGGAGGTCCCAGCAAGATGTCCTCCTCTCAGAGGGAGAACGGGCCATTGGTACTTACCGTGAAGGGTCCTTCTCCTCTGAGATAAAGGAGGACATCTTGGGCCCTCCCATCTCATCGTCATGTCCGCCTTTTCTATCTCTTTCTCAGGATAGTCCTTCCTGTTCCTATCCCCTCTTCTTCTGGTTACTGACCTTTTCTGATTTTTTGCAGTTCTGTTGTATTGGTTCAGTTTTATGGATTGTTTAGAAAGTTCACTGCTTCTTGGAGTTCCATAACTGAGCTGAGGGGCGTGTCCCACCTAGAGGACAGGAAGTGAAGCTGACCTTACTTCATGACTTAGACGACAGCAAAGTCTTAAGGGCAGCTTAATTCAGTACACTCTTGCCACTGCAGGAACTAAGACTATGTCTTCATCAGCAGTTTATAACATAATCTGGTACTAGTGTTCACACGAGGAAGAGATACAGGGCACATCACTTCCCATCCCGTTGTTTTGCACTCATCTCTTGGCTCTTGTGCGTGGGATCATGCACTAAAGTGTTACACCTATGCACGATGAGTACCCTGTTTTTCTTCCTGGCCATTAACTCCCCCCCCCCCATGTGCTATTGGAACTAGTCTCTCTCTCTTTTCACACCATTGCATCCGTGCGCCCATATACCTGCGTGCATTGCTGTATATGCCATCAAACGGTGTCCACTAGCAGAATCCTCAATCCTAGAAATAACCTAATCTTATGACTCTATCTCAAAGTCATTTCTGTTTTTGATCAGGATACTCTATAAAACCTGGTGTGTGAATAAATGGGGGGGGGGGGTTGCACATTCCATTATAAAAATTCTGCATTAATTAATCAATCAAAAAAATCTTGAGCATGCAATTCTGGGAACAGGAAGCATGTTTGTCCGAAAAATACAGAAAGATTATTTTGGAGTTGCTGGGGACTAAAAAGTGACATCAGGTGTGACAGGCTGCAGGTGCAGACCCAGCCTTAAGAGGTCTTATTGTATTAAGGAAAAAGGGCATCCCCCCCCCCACCCCAGAAAATATTGCTTCTCCTGGAAACAAATAGTGAAAATAAGTTACTTTATTGTTTAATTCTGAGGTTATTGTAAATCCCCAAAGCTTCCTTCTGTTTTTAGACTGCCCTGTTTCTTAAACGAATACAAATAAACCTTTTGCTTTTTCTAATCCAGTGTAATCTAATTGCAGTTGATGAGTAAAGAATCTCCAGTCTCTGCTGGAAATGATGCTTACGTTGATCTTGATCGCCAGGTATCTAATACCAGATGTTTCTTTTTATCAGTGGAGCTCATTGTGCAGTTTTCCTGGCATATTGTAAATGAGCTGCAGTGCTTCTGTTGTGTTTTGGTTTGGTTTTGCTTTTTTTAAAAAAACAAACAACACAGTTGTATCTTTGGGAGGCTATTGGGAAACTTAAGCATATAAACTGTAACAAACTGGTGTAAAATTTTTATTAATCCTTATTGGGATAATCTAAGAGATTCAGAATTTTTCCAGTTAGCAGTATAACATCAATAAATACCAGGTACTCTTGATCAGTACTTCTTTAAAAAAAAAACAAAAAACCCAGCATTCCCACAATGTTGCCAAACTGAAAAAATTACCGTGTTGAAACCAACATTGTTGGTGGCCAAAGTATAGTTTCTCCCTTCCCCAGTGCTGATGGGGATCATTAAGAGACACAAGAGCAGAAGCACCCGTGCTGTGAATCTGACAAAGATAACATCACTTAATAATTGATTAAAAAGGGCTTGTAAGGTTAGTATATCAAACAAACCAAACTATATTGTTCACATCACCTGCTGTGCTTCCTTTCTGAGCCAACTGAGTAACGAGGCTGGCTCGGTGTCAAAAATAGCTGATACCTTTCATATGCTAGCAAGCATTTTGAGGTTTATTTTTAAAACAATGTATGTAAGCATAGTCTTGCGTGCTTCACAGAAGTGTGGCAAGTATTACCTAATAAATTTGATGTTTAAGCAGAACTTGACATGGTAATTTTTCCAGTGCATAGATTTAGATCAGTTCTTGTCCATAGATTTTTGTGCTTACGCCTATGACATGATTTACTTCTGAAGAACACAGAAGCAATAGCGTAGGATTCTCAAAAAAGAGACAGAAGCCTTGTATTCCTGTTATACTAGGTAATCCATGCTTTATTTCGCCGAGTGGAACAAATAATAAGAAAAAAATTAATGCTGAAAAGGCATGTCCAGAATTGAGTATTGAATTTTTGTAGCTTCTCTAATATTGGAAGGGTTTGTTTTCTGGCAAAGGGTAGAACACCAACCTTGGCTAGCAGCCAGCAGTTGGACGTAGTTTAATAAGCACTCACTGAAAATGCCCTTGTCCATCCTCAAGCCTTTTTTGGTAGTAGCAGAAAAGACCAAAAAAAGGAGAGGGTGACCCAATACCATTTAATTTCTTCAGAAAATGCATCCATCCTCACAAACAGACGGAATGCTTGATAATAGGCTATTTTTTAAATAGCATAATGGGATAAGATTAGTCTTCTCTTCTGAAACCCCAAGAAATAATCCCCACCACAGTGGTTTTCTTTGCAGGAGTAGAACCCACAGGCTAGACAGGTTTTACCTCTGTCTGTTCCTTGTGTTTCCCAGTCTTCTGTGTTATATGCTTAAAACAGTTAAAATGGCCATTATTCGGTCTTTGCGTTTATAAAGAAAAGTGGCTTTTAAAAAACTTGCAGTATTGCTAGTATTGTATTTTCTCCAGCCGGTATAAGTTGTACAGTCTTAACACATATATGTAAAGTACTATTAATCAGCTATGTCTTTGTTTATGTATAAACTGTGAGGTGGAGCCGTTGCTCTTGTAATATAATGTCACTGAGCAACTTGGCACAGGGACACCGTGATCCAGAGTTGTCACTTAGAATTGAATAAAGGAATTATGAACCTCTTATGCCATGGAAGATTTCTCTGCCAGCCCTGGCACTCCTAGCCTCCGCCTCTTTGGAGCTGGGAGTTTTTATGGAGAAGTCTTCAAAGAAGACTCTGGCTGTAACGCAGAGTTTCCTTACTCATGCATAAATGACTGCTTCTGGACCAGACATAAGGAAGTATTGCATCATGTTATTTTTAGTAAGTGAAATAAGATACTGTGTTTTTTTTTTAAAAAAAAAAACCAGCTGGAAAACTACAGAAGAATTAAATGATGCCTTAGCAACCAAAGAAGAAATTGCCCAGAGATGCCATGAACTGGATATGCAGGTAGCCATCCATTTCTCAATGAGGTTAAAATGTGGACTTATAATAGGGGGTTAAGAATCTTATGCTATAGACAATAAGAGGCTTATAAAACACATTCTAGAGATCTTTCTTCAATAGTGGTTTTCAAAAAAAATTTGATTCACAGTGTGTTGCTGGAGATCCAGTTTGGTGTAGTGGCTAGGAGTGTGGACTCTAATCTGGGAGAACTGGGTTTGATTCCCCATGCCTCCACATGCAGCTGCTGGTGTGACCTTGGGTCAGTTACATGTTGTTTCAGAGCTGTTCTCTCACAAGCTGCTCTTGAAAGAACTCTCTCAGCCCCACCTACCTCACAGGGTGTCTGTTTTGGGGAGGGGAAGGGAAAGGAGATTGTAAGCTTCTCTGAGACTCTTTCAGGTACTGAAGGGTGGGGTATAAATCCCATCTCCTCCTCCTCCCTCTCAGCTAAGAAGCAAAGAGAAAAATCCTATTAAATAAAAGATTTTTTAAAAATCTCTTGGCAGTCTTTTCCTGGGTCTTCTGGGGATGCATGAACTAGTGTGTAGCATCCAGTCATTCTCGAGCTAGCTGCTGAAAACCCTTGCTCTAGTGTAGTGTTGTTTCCCACCCACCCCATTTACAGTTGCCTTGACTGTCCTGTTGTTGGTGTCCTGGAGGAACAAGAGAGTTCTGTATCCCTGACTTGAGTTTTTAAAGGGCCATAGAATAATCATCAAATTAGTAATTGGTTGTTTTATTAATGAGATGGTGGCGTTTAGATAGTGCTTTGTAATTCTGAAAGCATTTTTATTCTTAAAACAATACTGTAAGCCCAATGTTTCAGGTTTGACAGAGGAGGGGAGAGAACTCAGTGGATATAGGGTAGCCACTATTTCTCTGTTGGCCTTTTCCTGTCCATGTATATTTTGAAGTAAGCCCCGCTCATCTTAACACTGCCCAGTAAGTGTTGCATAGGATTGTAGCTGAGTTTGTTGTAAAGGCAAGGTTTGCATAAGGGTTTCATGGTTAACCGCTCATGCCTTTAGCAGATATTCTACCATAGCTCTGTGTAGGCATCTGCTTGATTATTTTTTTTTAAAGCCACGCTACATTTTTGTCCATCGTTGCAATTTTGGTAACAGGTTGCTGCACTGCAAGAGGAGAAAAGTAGTTTGCTTGCCGAGAATCAGATCTTGATGGAACGCTTAAATCAGTCGGATTCTATAGAAGACCCCAATAGCCCAGCAGGACGTAGACACCTGCAGCTACAGACGCAGCTAGAACAGCTCCAGGAGGAAACATTCAGGTAAGAGTTCTATAATGCAGTAAAATATTAAGTCTGAAGACACCATACATCAGAAGGTAACTGTTTCATTCTTGCTTCTTACTAGAATGAAATATGTCCGTCTGTATTAGCTAGTTCTGTTATAGTTCTGTTCTGGTGGGTTTTCTGAGTCTCTCATCCTTGCAGATAACTCTGACATTGATTGAACTTCCCTACTAAAAGCTTGGCGCAAACGTAGCACTGGCAACAATCACGATTTCCCTTGACTTCAAATAAAACAGTGTGAAAGTATTCGGAGAGAGGCTTTTTCTTGTCATTTCCCCCCCCCTCCTTGTAAGGCTTGTCTGACCTTGTAGCCGAGGGATGACCAAGTGGCAGATTTTGTGCTATGTGTGGACCCCAAAATCAGGCCCCTTATTTCCTTTCTTTGCTTGTTGTGAAAGATACTTGGTTTCAAAACTCATGTGTGAATGAGAGACAGATGCCACTTTCAGTTCAGTGTGAAATAGCCCAGCCTTGCTTCAGGATGTGTCTCTATTAGAAGAAGAGGAGGAGGAGGAGATTGGATTTATACCCCGCCCTTCAGTACCCAAAGGAGTTTCAGAGTGGCTTACAAACTCCTTTCCCTTTCCCTTCCCCTCCCCACCACAGACACCTTGTGAGCAGTGTTCCCTCTAAGCTGAGTTGGTGTGAGCCAGCTCACAGTTTCTTAGCCTCCGGCTCACACGTTTTTTGTCTCAGCTCGGGAAGGAGGGCTCCAGAGCAAGCAAATTGATGCAGTACCCAAATGGCTCGCTCACGACTTTCATGCCAGCAGCTCACAAAGTAGGATTTTTGCTCACAAGACTCCACATCTTAGAGGGAGCATTGCTTGCGAGGTAGGTGGGGCTGAGAGAGCTCTGACAGTGAAGCCCTTCCTAGGAGGTGGTGCTAACTTTAAGTAGTTCATAACACCCATGTGTGAAAGGGTCAGTTTGTCATGCAATATGATTCTGGTACCCTTTCCTTTTCTTTGTCCAATAAAAGCTATATGAATCAATGCCTTGAGCAGTATAACAACCTGAAATTTAATTTATAGTCTCTTATTTCCCCAAAGAGAAAAGGAATAAACATTTTTTTGCAACATCCAAGGTTTTATTAGGATTTTGAGAGTAGGAAAGGGACCACCCTGCTTGTATTTCACCAGCCATGGTGGAATAAAATGGCATCTTAGATTAGAATATAGAAGGCGTCCCAATAACATATGAGAGAGTTGGCCTTATTGAAGGAAGATTCTTATAAATCATCATGGCTTAGGATCATGGACAAGAAATTATCGGCTGCTGGTTTTACCACTGAATCTATCGGGGAATTGGGGCTCACTGAATCAGCAATTAAAATTTTTAAAACAGGATAGGCAGATCGATTACAGTAGTTCTATTCTTCATGCTCAATTAGTTTGTTCCTCACAGTTTTTTGGAATTCGGGTATCTTGGTCACAAGAGACTACCTTCCTGAGAAGGCAGCTGTAGCACACAATATATATATGTAGAAGCAGAGAGACATAATACACACACATGAGAGAGGGAGAGATTCCTCCCCTCTATCCCAAGTATTTTATTTTTTAAAGAAAACCTCTTAACAACAAACTTTACTACCTGACAACTAAATGATAGCTTGAGTTAGGATTTATCATTTGTGCCTAATCCCTGCTTTTTGTGTCCAGCATGTTAAGCTGAGCAGTAAAAGATAAAAAATAAACTGGTTGGCTGGTTTTCTTTGTAAAAATTTCCCCCCCTGAATGTTCTCTTCCAGATTAGAAGCAGCAAAGGATGATTATCGAATTCGTTGTGAAGAGTTAGAGAAGGAAATTGCAGAATTACGGCAACAGAATGAAGAATTAACAAATCTCGCGGAAGAAGCCCAGTCTTTGAAGGACGAGATGGACGTACTAAGGTACAGACTTCTCAGATCAATGGGACCTCTCCTGTCCTGTTACCTATGGCAGTCAGGATAGCTGCAGTCCATTCATAAGCTTTTCCAGTAGCTATCTCAGTCTTACAAAAGGGACTTCCTCAGGCCCATAGCCAGGATTTTGTAATTCGGGGGGGGGGGCCTTTAAATAAGCCAGGGGGCACTGACATCACAAAATAAAAAATAAAATAAAAATAAAATTTTTAAAACTCACTTTTGCGGCGTTCGCACTCTGCTTACCTACATGGGGAAGCAAGCCACGCTTGGGGAAGGGGAGGATGGTGGGAGTCCCCCAGGTGGCCCAGAGAGTTGGGAGTCCTCCGGGTGGCCGAGAGAGCCAGGGGGCCTAGGTGCTGGATGGAAGTTGGTGGGCCTTGGCAGGAAGTCAGGGGGTCAGGCTCCAAAATGCCCCACTGTAGCTACAGGCCTGGACTTCCTTTAGACGTCAGATGTGTGTCTGTTCTTTCAGCCTCTAGGAAAACCTGTAAAGACGTACTCTTTAGGAGGGCTTTTGGGCTTTGTTGTAAGAATGGGTTCAGTGTTTTGGTGGGGTCAATATCAATTTTTGTTAAGTAATAAATTTTTATTGGGAATTTAACACAAACAATTAACAATATCCAGTAAGAAGATTATTCATTTTACATTTGAAACCATAACTTTAAAACAAACATAACAAAGAAACAAGCAAAGTAACATGTTAACTAACGTGTCTGAACGTAGGCATTTGTAGTCAATATTGATTTATCTTGTTTGAATGTTTTTGTTTGGTTTTACTGCTGGATTTTTTAAAAAAAAATTTTTTTTTTGTAATCTGCCTTGGGATTCTTTGGGTGTGGGTGTGGGATGGAAATATTTTTTAAAGGCCAGTTCTCAGGTCTTATGAAACACACTATTTGCATGAGCTTACTATTAAAAGCATTTGATAGACACATTTTTCCATTGCCTATCCCAAGTCAGTTCCCAAGCCTATCCCAAGCCTATGATACTTGTATTCAAAAATGCTTATTGCCTTGAAAAATACTTATTGCCTTGCAACCTGGCAATGCTTTTAAATGTATACCCAAGATATTTTACAGTATCCCTTGGGCCAGTTACATATCCTCAGTCTAATGTACCTTAGAGGGTTGTTGTGAGTATTAAGTAGATGAGAGGAGAATGATGTAAGTTACTTTGTGCCCCTGTTGTGGAGAAAAACGAGTTATGAATGAAGTAAATAAATAATAAATGTAGTTGAAGATGGGGAAACAACTAAAAGGTAGGTGGGTGGGTGGGTGAGAAGGAGAAAAGGAGGCAGAGGAAGGGAGAGAGGAACTATGGGAGCTGCCAGGAGGAGGGAAAGAAGAAATCATGTGGGGAGGGGAATGCAGGAGAAAGTGAGGTACCCCTCACATGTCCTTGTGGGTTCCCCACCACATAACTGGGCCATAGTTTTCCCAAATAGAGTCTGCTCAGTAGAGGGAAGAAGGGAAAGCTGAAGGGAGGGGTGGGCAGAGAAAGCTAGGTTGGCTGGTGGGTGGGAAGGAGAGAAGGAAATAGGAAAAAGAGAAAGGCTGACAGAAGGG